CACAATAAGTTACCCCGGTAGAACAGGAAGGTGAGGCCAGGCACCAAAATGGCTCTTGAGAAATGCATTTTTTCAATCAATGTTTTCTTTGTTTTCCGCCATTTCTTTGTAACCCTAGAACTTGAATACTGTTGCTCAAGCACATTGGGGATTGTGAGAACTGGTCCAACTAACTTTAAGAATTTTGATTGGTCGACTGGCTTGGCAGCCATCTTGGATTGAATTTAAACAGAATCCCTAAGCATTATGGTTTTTTGTAGTAACATTTCATAAATAAAAACGTTAGCTGTCACATGACTTTTTCTGCCATGTTTACCCAAAAAATGGCAAAAAACATCTACTTCAGAACCACTGAAAAAATTGATCTTTTCCAAACATGAAATAATTTAATAATTTTTTTTTACTGATATTGCATTTATCTATTTATTTTGAAATTTGCAGTGTTGTATCTTTTTTTATACTAGTACCTAACTCCTTCACACAGCAAACAAATAATTCGGCTCAGTCACCATCATCTTGAATTTTGCAAAAAAATGGCAAAAATTTGGGCCATTTTTTTTTAAAGACTGCTTTAACCAATCAACTGGATATTTGCCTTATAGCATATATGACCCATAGCTTCTAAGGAGAAAAATTAATTAATTTTAATCAGTCATATGCTTTGGCTGCCATCTTGGATTTTTTTCAAAAATGTCCAGAATTTGAGAAATTTGTTTCTCATGAGTTCTTCAACCAATTAACTTGATATTTTGTGTATAGTATGAATCAGCAGAGCTTCTTAATATGAGCAAAATTTAAATCATTTTTATCAGTCATGTGGTTTGGCCACCATCTTGGGTTTTGTGGGTACATATTAAGGCTTATTCTACTGTCAGCCCCCAAATCCGACAAAGCTGCTCTACAGATTTAATGTACCAGGTATTTATTGTATCAGTATTACAGTATTCATTATGAGGACTTTCCTGTTAATTTGTATTTTGAGAAAAACTTTCCAAAACCACATTTTAGCAGTGGTTTATACATTTCAGTATTAAAAACCCACAAAAAAAACTATTTAATACTTCTTGATTTCAACAAGTACTTTGTAAGACACTAAATATAATTTGTTCACCCTATGTCACAAAGTAAAATGATGTGATGTTAATATCCTTGACATAAGAAACAACAATAACATGTCTTAAATGTCACTCTATTTTTGTCTATTATTGAGAAAGGATGCTATATTGAATAATTTAAAACTAGGATTACCTGCTACTATTTTTTTATATATTATTTTCACTTTAAGTTGTTTTGTACACCATTTTTTTCTAAACTGTGACCCATGTTTTTGTTTAATTCTCGCCATCAATGTATTAGACGTTTTCCTTGTACTACAATGCTTAAATAATTATTCATTTGCATTTAAAAGATGTAGAATTAAATTACTCACAGATATGAATTCAATATGATACCGGTATGTGCAGGCAGCGTAGAAATTCTGTCACAGTAACTTTTCTTCACATTTCCGGTTGTATTTGTGACCGTTAATGGCGCTATTACACTTTATATACTAGTACATTAATGCAGCCTTAATTAGCATACTTTTAATGTTGTAATAACGTTACTTAGGTAAATCGTATCATTAATTTTTATGGTTGCCCTTCTTACTAAAGTTGTATTAACCCGTTATTTATCGGTCAGACTCATTAGCTAATATATTGACTCGTTTTAATATAGTTTGCTATAGCCTATTCGTATTTTGTTTCGCGCGTGTACTAAAGGTCAGAAACGACTGACCTAAAAAATCGTACATTTTGGATGAACGGAATAATTATAAACCAATTTGTTGTGTTCATGCCATAAATTTGAATTTCAAATGCAAACTGGTTGACTGTGTATTGGTTTGTGTGGGACCATATTGTGCGTAACGCGGTTTATATTCTTCTGTGAATCATCTAGAACAACGTTTTATGCGATTTGAAAATGTTTGCTGTGCCTTGGTCACGACACAACTGGTGAATTTATAAAAGAAACACCCACAGTTACACGTTTCTGTTTTCTAAGATCTATGGTCCGAGTCACTTTGATGGTGTTGAGTCAACTCAATGGCCTATATTACATGCCGAGATAACGTGTACGTTCGAACCGTTATTCCCCGAATAACCTTTTTTTTAACACGTCTCAACATTTCTCGCTCGTGGAATAAATTGTCCTCACACATGTAATAAAGGTTTCACTTCGATGACTCTTACAGCAGTGGTTAGTTTGCAAGGCTTCCATTACCACGACTACTCGGTTCCAACATCATTTTATTACCTCGATCGTAAATTGGAATAAGAAGGAAATATTTCCATCGTAAATATTTTTCTTCGGGTTCCTTATAGTAATAACCTCGATTAGGTTGTTATAAAGTGTGATAAACTCTTGGATAACTTGGATTAGAAATGTCATGCACAGCATGGCCTATATTTATGTCTATATATGTTTTCAATCGCCCAGTTATATTAACCATCAGCTGACAAACATTTGTAAAATTTGTACCACTGTTGCGAATTGTTGAGTGCCGTAGGGGAGTATAAAATATATCGACATATTTCGTACTTTTCCATGTGCCATACCAGAACACTGTGAATGGGTATGATGTAATCAAATTATAGAAAGCTCATCACCGATTAAAGACACGCGGTTACGTACACGTGGTTAATATAGTTTGACGTCTCTGGTGCTCTACGGACGATGCTGCGTCGAAACATGCGCGGACCACCTCGTGAAATATTTCACAGACACAGCGCTTCAAATAAAACATTACCCGACAAATACATATTTGGAAGATGTTTATGTGACTAACATTATCAAAAACATGTCATATTGGGAAGTGAAAAATCAATGTGTGTAGCGTTGTTTATATATACAATTACGGGTTCATACGAAAATGTGTAACACATTTCAGAAGTGTTATTTATTTATTTTTTTTCTTCGTTTTTGGACAGTTTTGATGATTTCATATTATGTATTGATTGTTTTAAATGTCTTAAGTTAGTATCTGAGAAAATCAGATTGT